GATACTGAAACCAGGAGCAATACCTAATGAGGGACTGTGGCCTATGGAGAGAGACTCTCATGCTAGTGCTATTATCAATGGTGACTCTACCTCACCTACACTAGTAGTGATTGGTGGACGGGATAAGAATTATCAACTAGTTAATGAATGTTTGTTATTTGATAGTATCGCTACTGGTCAGTACAGTTGTAGGAAGGTATGTGTGTGTATAGTACTGTAATGATGTGTGTGTGTGTATAGTTAGGTCAGTTGAGAGTATGACACTAGTACTGATGTATATTGATGATAGATTAGTAATTGTTAGTGTGTTGAGTAGATAACACTATCACTGATGAAACATTAACAATACAATAGAACCACCCACGCATTTGATTAAAAATTACACATTACATTATGTACATATTTGTACATTGTACATGTATTTTGTTATTCTTGACATGATGGGAAATTAAAATATTAATTTTGTTTGTTGATGGTGAGGATTAGAATTGATTTTACAATTACAATAAATGTAACGATCATCTACATATGAAATGATACAATTTCTCATTTTATAAGTAACTGTATAAACATCATGTATCAGTAATTACTTGTATACTTCTCTTTATCTACAGATTCCTCTACCTGAATCTGTTACTGGTAGATACAATCACTCACTCACAGCAGTCACAATGTCACTACACTGTGTGTGGCTAGTAATTGTTGGAGGATGTAAAGAGTTTCAATGGAAAGATGTCGGAGGAGGAAAGAAGGTGCCATGGACTATATATATCACTAATACTAATAGACTAATAATGATAATTGAATTAGGTAACATAATATTAATTAATTGTAAGGATATGAGCATTAAATACATGTACATAATTACATTAAATAATGTGCCACTCATTTTTATATTATGTACATTATTTGTAAATTTCAGTTCCTAATATGATGTACATTTCCCATTCATTTTGTATACTGTACACACTACAATACCACTGTATGTGTGGGTGTGTATTTACAACCACTATAAATGATACCATTAGTTTATAAATTAAATACATTTATTTATAATTATATAATGTATCTTATTGTGTCTCAGTATATAGTGAAGCTGGTGAGTGGATAGTACAGTCAGTACTGGATGCTAATGATCTCACTAGTAAGAACTATCAAGAAAAGTATCAATCGTACAGCAAGATCAGAACATGGCGGATGGATCAGCTAATAGAATATCCGACAGAGAGGGAAATGAAGCTTCAGAGATATATACAATCTTTACATGAAGACCTACAAGTGGCTCATGAGAGCAAAGTATCACTACAGGAGGCACTGGTTGAGGCCAATAAACAAGGTATTTAGGATACTACACACACACACACTTTAACTGTACTAACTGATTACTATTATGTAGTATTGTGTGGTTATTGGTAGTGTGAGTGTGTGTATTAGTACTGGTTTACATTATGATATCTAGTGGATTAGAAGACAATGTTGAGTATGGAAATAGTATCCTGTAGTCAATATAGGTCAAATCGTGGATGCATTAGAAATAATGAGATTTATGTAGAGTGAGCTCTCCTTACCATATATGGTATGATTAGCAATAATCATAGTACATGTATTTATGGGCTACTGTACATGCAGTGCAAATTTGTATGAGCTAGAAATAATATTGAATATGATTATCTAATGGTTTGTACATTGGTTGAACCAGTCTTTGGTGTGTATATATTATCTGTATATTCTGTTGTGTTATTATGCATATACTGATTACTCTCTTCTTTTATATTATTATTCAGTTAAAGGTGATGATAGTAATGATATTTTGAGCAATATATTAGAAGAGATGAGACAAGAACAGGAAAAGTTGATTGAAGAGAAACAGATTATTACTGGTTAGTGTATCATCAGTACATAATATTAGATGAGAAAATATTCTATTAATGTATAGAGGATAATGAGAAACTGAAACTCATGGTAGCTGATATAGAGGAGAAGCAGGAACAGTATCTCAAAGAAAAGCAGATCATTATTGGTTAGTTAACTATACACACAGCATGTATTAGATGAGAGATAATGTTTATTGTGTAGACGACAATCAAAATCTCAAAACTGACGTTTCTGAGAAAGACAAAGTTATAGCCAAACTGGCATCAAATGAAAAACAGATCGTTACTGGTTAGTGTATCATCATTAATCAGTGATTATTGTTAATATTTTATTAATTTATAGACCTTAAAGAAAAGGACTTGCACATAGCCAAACTATTGAAGGAAAGACAAGAGAGAAGCAAAGTGACTAGTTCCATTGGACTACAATTTAATTACCTGATCCCTTCAATGGGTAAGAGTATTATTGTGTGACTGACTGAGTGTATACAATTGTGTGTGTACTCACTGTATATATTTTGTATAATTGACAGATAAATTGGATTGTCTGAGTGATGTCCAGGTAGCAGAGAGGAAGCTGTCTAA